AATGCTGAGCATGTTATTCTCTTTTGGTTTTCCATCTCCACGTCTTTGTGCGTGTCATTTTAATACTTTACTTTGTCTTCTCGAGCCACCCTTTAAAATCTCCTGTTCAGTTCTTTTACTTTATCATTTCTTCCATTTGCTTTAGCTACTCGACGTTCAAGAGCAAGTTTCAGAGTCTCTTCTGACATCCGTTTTGGTATTTTCTTTCTTTCCTGTCTTTTTAATGACCTCTTACTTTCTTCATGTATAATGTCCTTGGTATCATTCCACAACTTGTCTGGTCTTCAGTCATTAGTGTTCAATGCATCAAATTTATTCTTGATAGGATCTCTAAATTCAAGTGGATATACTCAAGGTCGTACTTTGGCTCTCGTGGACTTGTTCTAATTTTCTTCAGCTTCAGCTTGAACTTGCATATGAGGAATTGACAGTCTATTCCTCAGTCAGCCTCGGCCTTGTTATGACTGATGATATTGAGCTTTTCCATCGTCTGTTTCCACAGATGTAGCCGATTTGATTCCTGTGTATTCCATCCGGCAAGGTCCACGTGTATAGTCACTGTTTATGTGACTATGGTATTAATGGTGTTTGCAATGAAGAAATCGTTGGTCTTGCAAAATTCTACCATGTGATCTCCAGCATCGTGTCTATCACCAAGACCATATTTTCCCACTACTAGTCCTTTTTTGTTTCCAGCTTTGACATTCCAATCACCAGTAATTATCAATGCATCTTGATTTCATGTTTGGTCAATTTCAGACTGCAGAAGTTGGAAAAAATCTTCAGTTTCTTCATCTTTGGCCTTAGTGGTTGGTGCGTAAATTTGAATAATAGTCATATTAACTGGTCTTCCTCGTAGGCATATAGATATCATCCTATCACTGACAGTGTTGTACTTCAGGATAGATCTCAAAATGTTCTTTTTGACGATGAATGCAATGCCGTTCCTCTTCATGTAGTCATTCCCCGCATAGTAGACCATATGATTGTCTGATTCCAAATGGCGAGTAGCAGTCCATTTCAGCTCACTAATGCCTAGGATATTGATATTTATGCGTTCCATTTCATTTTTGACGATTTCCAATTTTCCTAGATTCATACTTCATACCTTCTACGTTTCAATTATTAATGGATATTTGCAGCTGTTTCTTCTCATTTTGAGTTGTGCCACATCAGCATGTGAAGGTCCCGAAAGCTTGACTCCATCTGCATCATTAAGGTCGACTCTACTTTGAGGAGGCAGCTCTTCCTCAGTCATATTTTGAGTGCCGTCCAACCTGAGGGGCTCACCTTCCAGCACTATATCAGACAGTGTTCCACTGCTATTCATAAGGTTTTTTCTGGCTAATTCTTTTCTGAAGTAGACCACCGGGCCCTTCTTCCTGGTCTGTCTTAGTCTGGAAGCTCAGCTGAAACCTGTCCACCATGGGTGACCCTGCTAGTATTTGAATACTTGGGGCATAGTTTCCAGCAGCACAACAACACGCAAGCCCCCAGAGTATAAAAAACTGACAGACGTGTGGGGGCTAGCTTCCTCAGCCTCCCTGAATTCTCAACTCTGCCTCATCAACTCATTTAGCTTGCTAGGCTCTGGTTGGGTTTGCTCTCTGCCACCACCTCTCTACAGGCAATAAGCTGAGCAATTGTACGACTCCCTCATCTGTTTCCTTTCTCAGGGTTCACTGATTTGGGTTGCTGGTTGTCCAGTATCTGAAAACTGTTTTTCATCTATTTTGTCTGTTTAAAAAATTTTAAGGTAGGATGGTAAATCTAGTCTCTGTTACTCTATCATGACTGGATGTGGACGTCTTCAACACTTAAACTTTAATTATGAAAGATACAGTGGTAAATTCAGCGTTGCTGTTGCTAAAGAGTGTCTACTGGCTCTTTCCACTTGACTTTCCCATCTTAGGGGCCTTTTTCCCTCGTGACATTCTTTCTTTGAATTACTAAGCAGTTTCTTCTAACATCTCTCTCTCTCTGTTTTCTTTCTAGTCATAGATAAGACTACCAAAAGAGCAGTTATTATATGAATAGAAACATTTAAATTATTGGCATGATAAGGTCATTTCTCACTGTCATCATTCAGAATGTGTATTTGTCACTGTGTTTGGTACTTTGAAATGAAACTGTGCATAAATACAAAAAAATTTTAAAATTGTTCTGGTTCTATGTTAAATTCATAGTTTTTATACTGCAGTTCAACGTTTATTCCATTGAAACCATATGACTCTTCTTAAACTACAAGAATTCTCTAGACAACAAACAAAAAAGTGGGTGTCGGGGCTACAGATGCTGATACTAATTAAGCATAACCAATCACCTCATGGGATTACTTCTCTTGGTTTGAGGGCTTAGAGCCATGGTCTCATGGGACAATCCAGAGAATCTGCATAGTATAGTTCTTAAACTTAATATTCTATCCCCCAGCATGGTGAGTAGTGTCTTATAAGGTTATTGGCAGCCATCTAAGATATAGCTGTTGGCGTTTTTTGGAACAAAAGAGAGAGAAGGAAACCCAAGAATCATAGAAGGAACTGGACTGTAGGACTAATAGTCTCCATAAACCTGGAGACCAGAAGAACTAGATAGTGCCTAGGTACCACTACTGAACATTCTGATCAGGGACACAATAGATGAATCTGGATAAAAAGGGAGAAAAATATGAAACGGAACTTCAAATTCTTAAAGAACCCCAACTTACTAAACCTATTAAGGCTGGGAAGCATTCCTGAGATTGTGGCTCTGATTTACTCTTCAAACCTTGAATTGAAACTACCCTCTGAAGTCACCTTTAACAAATTGTGGGTAACATTGTGAAGAATGAGAATTCCAGAAAACTTAATTGTGCTCATGAGGAACCTGTACATAGATCAAGGGGCAGTCGTTCTAACAGAACAAGGGGATACTGTGTGGTTTAAAATCAGAAAATGTATGTGTCAGGGATTTATCCTTTAACCATACTTACTCAGTCTGCATGCTGAGCAAATAATGTGGGAAGCTGGACTGTGTGAAGTAGAGTGTGGCATCAGGATTGGTGGAAGACTCATTAACAACCTGTGATATGCAGATGACACAACCTTGCTTGCTGAAAGCAAAGAGGACTTGAAGCACTTACTGATGAAGATCAAAGACCATATAGCCTTTAGTATGGACTACACTTCAGCATAAAGAAAACAAAAATCCTCACAACTGAACCAATATGCAACATGATGATAAATGGATAAAATAATTGACATTGTCAAGGATTTCATTTTACTTGGATCTCCAGTCAACATGCATGGAAGCAGCAGTCAGGAAATCAAAAGACACATTACATTGGGCAAATCTGTTGCAAAAGACTTCTTTAAAGTGTTAAAAAGCAAAGATGAAACTTTGAGGACTAAGGTCCATCAGACCCAAGCCATGGTATTTTCAGTCACCTCATAAGCATGTCAAAGCTGGATAATGAATAGGGAAGATCGAAGAAGAACTGACGCCTTTGAATTGTGGTGCTGGTGAAGAATATTGAATATAGCATGGACTGCCAGAAGAATGAAAGAAGCATCTTGGAAGAAGTACAGCCAGAATGCTGCTTAGAATTGAGGATGGTGAGATTTTGTCAAGTAGTTTGGACATGTTATTAGGAAGGACCAATCCCTGGAGAAGGACATCATGCTTGGTAAAGTAGAGGGTCAGCGAAAAAGCGGAAGACCCCCAATGGAATGGATTGACACAGTGGCTGCAACAATGGACTCAAAGATAGCAATGATTGTCCGGATGGCGCAGAACCGGACAGTGTTTCATTCTGTTGTACGTAAGGTCGCCGTGAGTTGGAACCGACTCGAAGACACCTAACAACAAAAACAACAGTTTAGCTCTGAATAAAGATTGTGATCCTTGAGTATTGCGTTTTTAAAAAAAAGTCTATAAGGCCAAAGGGTCAACAGCTATTTTAAAGCCTAGATGAGAAGATTAGGGGGCAGGGAGTTTAAGTAAATGGAAATGCAACAATTAGAACAGAAATAACATAGGACAGAAATAACAAGAATGTTGACACAATGTGAAGAATGTAACCAGTGTCACCGATCATTATGTCTAGAAACTGGAATTGAAGCAAGTTTTGCTCTGTGTATTTTCACCAAAAATAAAGTTAAATATTAAAAAAAAAAAAAGTTCTTTAAAATATTATTTGACATGTTTCTATTTAGACCTTTTGAGCCTCTGTAGGCCTCAATAATCTTATTTTTCTTAAAATAAGATTATTTTCTTACTGTGATTTCATAGCCTCTATCAGCATATTCAAAAGCAGCAGTTTTTAAAACACACTAACCATGATTATTTTCTCTCTTTAATCATCTTTAGTACAAAGGAAAAAAAAAAAGAAAATGGTGACTTTGAAATCTGGTATAAGAATGATTTGAAAGAGATCAAAGGGAATATCCAACATAGTCTTTTTAAGGCTTTGAATATTGTCTTGCTGTTTTGGGGTGAGCTTCTGATAACTGCTGCCATCAGTACTGCTAAGAATAGAGGAGCTTTGTAGGAACATTTTCTTTTAGGAGATAATTTTTCTTGCTAAGTATGCCATAAGAACTTGAAGAATGATTTTAATTTCTCATTTTAAGATGACCGTCATACTGAGCCAGACTGTTCACCACGTCAAAGTTAGAATACATGGATTTGTCAATAAATTTAAACATGATAGCAGTCACCATTACTACTGAGTTGGTTGAGTAGTATATTATATTCACAATTTTAAATGGGTATTGATCTTCATTCAGGACTAAATTGGAGCATCTCTATTCTTATGAAATTGCTGATCCTTTCCCACTTCGTAGATATGCAGCCAGACATAAATTCTAGCCACTGTGCCACAGATTTTTCTTACCTTTGCTTCTTTACGCAGTGCTTTTTAGGAAAGAAGAATGCTTTTGGAATACTAAAAATAGCACAAGTCCATTATCTTTCAAAATAACAAACCTAAAATATATTACCTTGTGTTTTCCTGTGTCTTGAAGGTACTTGAAGTTTATTGAGTTGCCCTTGTCTCAGAGAAAGTTTTGTCAAAGATGTCAGCAGTTGCTGTTACCAGACGACTGGGGAGAGCATTGTGAACATCAGGTCCTGGGTGATATTTCTGTCACCCAGTTGAAAAGGCCCAGTCAACTCCTTTACCCGTTGGAAAATAAGAAGACATATGCCCAGTATTTGTTTGCTGACAGAAGCTGTCGGTTCTTTGTAGACCTGCTGTCTAGCCTTGGATTCAGGAGAGTGCTGTGTGTTGGAACACCGAGGTATGTTGTATAATCATTTCTTTTTTAATTCTCGTATCACCACTATTTAAGGAGCCCTGATGACATGGTGGTTAAGTGCTCAGCTGCTAACCATAAGGTCAGCAGTTCGAACCCACCAGCCGCTCCACGGGAGAAAGATGCAGCAGTCTGATTCCATAAAGACTACAGCCTTGATCAGTATTGAAGTCACTCCTGAGGTTCACCCTTTAGCCAAAGATTAGATAGGCCCATAAAACAAACAGTAATACAAGTAGCTCAACCATGTATATGAGACTAAATAGGCACACCAGCACAGGGGCAAGGATGAGAAGGCAGGAAGGGACAGGAAAGCTGGACAAAGGGCAATGGGGAACCCATGGTCAAGAAGCAGAGAGTGTTGACACATTGTGGGGTTGGCAACCAGTGTCACAAAGCAATATGTATATTGTTTATTGAGAAACTAATTTGCTCTGTAAACCTTCATCTAAAGCACAATAAAAAAGAAAAAGAAAAAAAAGATTACAACCTTGCAAATCCTATGGGGCAGGTCTACTCTGTCCTATAGGATCGCTAAGAATCAGAATCGACTTGACAGCAATGGGTTTTTTGGTTATCACCACTATTTAAATTGTAAGAAAATTTTATCAAGGAATTATTTAGTATATGCAGGGCATAGCATTAAGCTTTAAGAATACAGAGGGAGTATAAAGCATGGTCTCTGTGCTTAAGGAGTTTGTAGCTCATATTCCATTTGTGATAAATCTTTATAGATTCTGGTTTGTGACAGGAGATTCTTTCTGATACGATTTTTAAATTGTTTATAATTTCAGACTTCTCTCTTTCAGATAAGTTCTGCCTTTTAAAAAATATTTGCTAAACTGAAACTTTGGTTATATGTGCCATTTCTCTTCAAGGTTTCATTTAAATATCAGAAATGTCAGAAAAACATAAATGATTTTTTTGTTTGCTTATTGTTTGGTATTTGTAATTTCTTATTAAATTTGCTTTCACTAATTGCTTTAGGTTGCACGAGCTGATCAGGTTGAAAGCATCAGATGACAAGAAGTCTAACATTAAAAGCATTTTATTGGATATTGATTTTCGGTAGGTTTACAGAGTATATTTATTCTCCTTCCTTTTCTCCTGTTTCTTTTTAATGTTTTTCTCCTCTTAGTTGTTTATAATCTTTCAAAACTCCCTAATTGACAGTGAGAAGTCATAATTGGTTATGAGGCACATCTTTAGCTGAATGTCATATAAACCCAACATGTAGTCTTCCATAGTTCAAACAGGGAGGCAGTAGATTTCTCGTATTCCTACCTTGCTTCCTAGATTTTCTCTTTGAATGTCTCTACTTGTCTTTGGCATATAACTTAACAGATAAATTCCTATTCAATGAAATTTCTTCTCTTATATTTATTTTCAAACGTAATTCTGAATTTCTTCATAATCAGAGTACTAGAATTTTGTTTCATCATCAAATCTTTGATGTATAATAAGATATTATTTTAGTGTATTTTACAGGGTAATGTGCATATTGTCTTTCACTGGAAGCCAGAAGTAAAGGAAACACTAATTAGGAAATAGACTGGTTCCAAGGAAGATGATTAGGAAACATAAGTTTTGTGGCAGAGGGTAAGAATTCAGTCACACCTGATGGGAAGTGGAGATGAGACCCCTCTGCTGGTAATTTAGAAGATACAGATCTTTGATTTATAATGCAGGATGGTAAATACATCCATCCACAGTCTCTAAGATTCAGTCTGTAAATCTGAAGTACTCTTTTTAGTTTCCTCAGTTGTTCAATTCCAAGAGCTCTTGGCGAATGTATAATACTGCCAGACACCACGCCAAAACTGTAAGGTACTTACCAAGAGGCCATTAGAAATAGGGAACAAATTGCTACATGTGATTCTTCCACGAACATCACGTCGTTCCGCTCAGAGCGTGAACACACCTTAGCACGTGGAAAGTAGCGTTTATTACGTACCAAAAGAAGCAGACAGCATATAACAGGAGAGCAGTCCCCCTTGGCTCAAAGCTGTCCAGATGGAGATGGACAACCATGCACACTCCACTTTGTGCCGTGGATGAGGGACCCAAAGGGGACAGTTACACGACAGATTGGCCCTCCCTGGCTTCTGGAAACTGTCCTGATGGAGATAGAGAACTCTTCCACACATGCCTCCACCTAGCATCGTAGGTGAGTGACTGCCAGTCCCCTCCAGGCCAGGTAGGCTTAGTTAGGTGAGCTGAGCTTCTGCTACGCGTGCTGCTCACTAGCACCATAGCTGAGGGGACCCTGAGGTTCCTTGCCCAGCCATTTTTATACCCCAAAGCCCACATGACATGCTACACTGACACACATCAGGCTTCAGAGGGTGGAGGGGGCAGTTATGGCCCCCTCCCTTCTTGAGACCTGTTGCCAAGGTGATGAGTTGGGTGCTTTCAACTCATTTGCATACATTTAAGTGTTGCCTGGATGTTTTATAAAACAAAAGCCCGTTGATTGCTCATGCTATTTTCAGAAACCAGAGACTAAGGCCAAACCTAGTTCTCTTTGTCCAACAAATACACTGTGTTACTAGTCTCTTTGTCATGTTCTTGAATATTGAAGGAATCAGGCCTTGTGTTCCTTTTTATGTAGATCTGATGCAGTGTCTGGCCAATATTCCAACATTTGTTACAGAGAATCTATGAAATTAAACATGTTCTCTCTCCCAAAAATAAGGCAGACGTGCCACTAAAGAGGCTATTGTTAGAAAAATGGAAAATAACAACTATTGGGGAGGATGTGGAGAAATTGAAACCCTTGTACATTGCTGGGGAATGTAAAATGGTGCAGCTGCCTTGGAGATCGTTTTGGTAATTCCTCAAAAGGTTAAACATAGAGAACTACCATATGACCAGCTGTTTCACTCTTAGATATGTACCCAAGAGACTTGAAAGCAAGGACTCAAACAGATACTTATATACCAACGTTCATGCAGCATTATTCACAACAGCCAAAAGGTGGAAACAATCCAAGTGTCCATCAGTGGGTAATTGGATAAACAAAATGTGGTATATCCATACAGTGGATTATTATTCAGCCATAAGGAGAAGTGAGGTTCTAATCATGCTAACACATGAATGAACTTTGAAAACATTATGTCAAGTGAAATATTATCTGACTTATTTGAACTTTCTGGAATAGGCAAATGCATTGAGACAAAAGTTTATTACTGGTTACCAGGGGCTAGGAGAAGAAGGGGGTGGGGAGTTAATTGCTTTAATGGGTACTGAGTTTGTTTGGGGTGACAAAAAACTTCTGGAAATGAATAGTGGTGATGGTTGCACGACATGGTGAATGAATATCACTGAATTGTACACTTAAAAATGGTTAAAATAGCAGGTTTTGTTGTATATATTTTGCTATGATAAGAATGTTAAAATAGGGAAAAAGATCAAGGCAGGCATGCTTTTGTAATTGATTTTTCTGTAGATTTCCAAGTCAGCTTTAGGTTGTCTACTATAAACTACTGTATTTCTTGAAAATTACCTATTCACAGCTCATCTCTTCTTAACAGGACTAGACAGTTTACTTACATCTGCTTGACGTGAGTGATCTTTGGCAAAATGGAATTCCACAAGTGATAATACTTGTTCTCAAAGATAAACTCAATTTCTTTTTCTCGTAATTGAGATAGTTACATAACATAAAATCCACTGTTATAAAGTGTACGACTCAGTGGTTTTTAGTGTAATCACTATGTTGTACAACTTCTACCACTGTTTAATTCCAGAACATTTCCACCACCCTAAAAAGCATTATTAGCAGTCAGCTCCAATTCCCCCAGTCTTCCATCCCTTGAATACTATTAATCTACTTTCTGTCTCGATGGAGTTGCCTGTTCTGGACATTTCATAAACATGGAATCATACAATACGTGGCCTTTTTTGTCTGGCTGCTTTCACTCAGCATACTCTTCAAGATTCATCCATGTTATAGCATGTATCAGTAGTTTATTCCTTTTTATGGCTGAATAATATTCCATTGGATGTATATATCTGTTTTTTTAATACCGTGTTCCTTTCTAAAAGTATTTTTATTAAATTATTATAAATACATTGTTTTAAAGGTAGAAGTTTAAGTTTTGTTCTTTTAATGACAGTAATAGTAGCTGTTATTTATTGAATGCTTACTACTTGCCAAGCTGTGTTCTAAGCATTTACCTCAGTCAGTCCTCACAATGACCCTGTAGGATAGATGTTATCATCCTCATTTCCGATGAGAAAACTGAGGCACAAAGAGGTTAAATAAGTTGACCAAAGTCAGGGTTATAAGTGACTGAGCCAGGATTCAAACTCAGACAGTCTGACTCCAACAAGTAAGTTATCTTCTGGAAATAACTTTTCAACTTGTATATAAGCCTTTCTTATATAATCTGTTTTTGTCTCGTCATCTGTCCGTTCTCCCTTTGTTTTCCTGCCTTTCTACAAAGGCTTTTGAGTGAGTCAGTAGTATAACTGATAACCAAGTTATTCATATATTTAGAATAAGGCATTCATATTAGTCAGGAGTATTTCATTGGGGTCCCACAAATCTGTTCATGTAAAAGGGAATTTATTAGCTAACATTATTGAAGAAGAAATTGAAATTGTCAGTGATTTCATTTTACCTGCATCAACAATCAACATCCATGGAAGCAGCAGCTTATTGGATGGGGCAAATCTGCCACAAAAGACCAGTACACTTTACATGTGTATATTCCTCTCTCTGTGTGATGCAAACAAACAAGCTGATAGGGTTCTATTGGGGACATCCTAGTTTAGTTGCTTTCATAACATAGTCTTTTACTGCCTCATTTCTATAAGAGGATGTTAAGAGAGAACTGCTTTATCAAAACACATTAGGAGCCCCAAGGAGCCCTGGTGGTACAATGGCTAAGCGCTCGGGCGGTTTAAACCCACCCAGCAGCTCAGTGGGAGAAGCACTTGGCGATCTGTTTCTGTAAAGATGACAGCCCAGAAACTCCTATGGGGCAGTTCTACTCTATCACATGGGGTCACTATGAGTTAGAACTGACTTGATGGCACCCAACAACAACAGCAACAACAGTAACCACAGTGAACTCAGTCTGTATTGCCTGTATTTGCAGTGTGATGGAGTGTGTGGTTGGCTCAAATTTCTTACAAAGACCACACTTAGGAAAAAATTCCCATGAGTAGTATAGAGTGGCAGCGAATAATTACTTTTGCCACTCTGCCTTTGGTTTGTTGTTGCCCTACAGAAAGTCTGTCTGAGGCTGCAGTGTCCAGTGTAGTGTCCTATGTAGATGTTCTGCATAGTATTCTGTGCCAGTGTGTTCTGTGTAGATACGCTATAAATATCCTTTTCTGGGTGTAAAAGATAGGAAGTTAACATTTGCTAAGATGAATTTCTATATGCTCTAATTTTAACATGGAAGATATGAAACTCCACTTGGCAAGCGATCATCCAAATAAAGTTATTTCCAAAAACTGCATTTCTTAGGTTCATCTCATGAATGAATTTTATTCAGCTCTTGATTTCATTTCCTTTATGTAGAGCATGTTTCATACTTGGTAACTGACTCTCATTTAAACAGATTGAATGGCCAAATTAAATGAATGTTCTTTTGAGCAGTTTTCAAGCACATACATTCCTGATAGTTTTGTTTGCCTTATTCAATAGAGAATAATTCTTTGTGGCCAGTTTCACTTTAAGAGGGCAATGTTGAGTGATTTTTCATAATTTAAAATATGAATAATTATGCTCCCTTGTTTATATTTGATGGAAACTGAGAAATGAAATCTTGTTTTTTTTTTTCCTTCTGATTCTACAATTGTATGCTGCTCAGAATGATTTGGACAGGTGTGCTGTGCTGAATTTTATGCAATTCAAAAAAATTTTTATAATTCTAAAAAATGACTATTGTGTCTTCATGAAGCAATTAAAAAGAATGGGATAGGAGAGTGATATATTGAAAAAAAGGATTGTATTTTCCCTTGCTCACATTCACAAAACAATACAAAAGGGAGGAAAACTCACATATGATAGTTGATGCATGACTATACTAGTATTGATATTTTTTAAATCAATTATTTGGAATTTAGTTAAATAAGATATATTTGTTTACTAATGGTAATATTGTCTTACAGTTTTTGGAATGTTCATTAGGTTAAAATATATAGTTTTAATATTTTCCAATTATTCAAACCTCTTGTTTATTTCTGCAGTGCAAATTTATGTTGTATGAAATCCAGCAGATGTGATAACTGTATCTTAAATGATATTGAGGGATATTGTACTGAGAATAGTGAACAGCTGTTCTTCCATCTCCACAGAATAAGAGGAAATGAGTATCGATTATAGGAGTAGAAATTTTGGTTGAACAACACAGTTCCCTAGTATTAGTGGAATTAAGACATACCATATTTTTTCACAAATAACACATGCGTTATACGTTTTTTGCCAACTGCTCAACCCCCACGCATTATTTTTGTAAGTGTGTTACGCCAATTTTTTTTTATATGTTGCTGACTTCAATTGACGTTAAGGAGACAATTAAACTATGAAATAAGGTGACCTAACATAATCTAATAGTTTCACTTAAGACAATCTGTTAAGGTTTTCGCATTTAACTGAGGAACTCATGTGCTATAATTATCAACTTAAATTAATAGAAACAAACACAGTTTTGATTGTTTATTTTCCAATTACCGGGGAACAGCCAAACTCGGATCCATGACTTCTTGACCATGGCTTATACCTTTATTATAAAATTATGATCAAAAGTGACATTTTCATACTATTTCTATACACATAAGCAGGATATTAAAGAAAATGAACAGAACGATAGGATTTACCCGTAATATGGGAGGACGGGTGAATTCACTGGAAGTGTCACAAAACGTGTGGTAATATGCATGGGTACAGTATGCCAGAACTGTTTTACTTAATTTCATCATGTCTGCACATTATATGTGTGGGGGCATTATGTACGTGGGCGCATTATTGAGAAAAATACCATATTAAGAATAATGTCTAACATTTGAGTATATACTATGTAACTGGCATTGTATTCAGGGCTTTACATTATCTCATTTATTCTTCCAAGTCCTGTGAGGAACTAACTATTATTATCCCCATTTAGTGGATTAAGAAACTGAGGCTCAGCAAGGTTAAATAACTGACTAAGGTTACAAAGCTATTGAGAATTGCAAACCAGACCATCTCATTGCAGAGCCTGTGCTCTTAACCATAGTGTAAGGAAAAGGATAAACCAGGCTTGAACATTATATTAAATATTCACCATAGATGGTGCATAGGTGCATCACCATAGATGATAATAGGTAACTGTGAATAGAAGTAAAGAAGTAAAGAAGTACCACTATCATGATTTGCAAGAAGTCATGTAATTAAGCATGGGTCTCTGGTTTTTTTTAGTCTTTTCAATAGGTTATGTAGGTTATGTAGAAGGATAGTGTGGTTCCTATGACACTGATATTGGTACAATCTACCGACCTTATTACAGATTTCAACTTGGGGAACTTTTAAAAGTTCCTAGACTCCAATCCAGACCAACTGAATCAGAATCTCTGGGAGTCGGGCCCAGGCTTTGGTATTTTTTTAAAGCTTCTCATGGGCTGATAGAGTTTTTTTGTTTTTAATAATTTATTTTATTTTTTTCGTTGTTGAATAAACACAGCAAAACATACATTGATTCAACAGTTTGTGCACATACAGTACACTGACATTGATTACATTCTTTGAGTTGTGCAACCATTTTTACTTTCCTTTTCTGAGTTGTTCCTTCCTCATTAACATAAACTCACTACCCCCTAAGGTTCCTATGTAATCTTTCAAGTTGCTGTTGTCAGTTTGACCCTATATAGATAGATCTTAAAAGAGCATAATGCTCAAGGCAAACATTCTTTACTAGTTAAGCTAAACTATTTGGTTTTAGGAAGACTCTCATTCATTGCTGATGGCCTTTTAAAGTACAGGTAGTTCCCGACTGACTCTCTTAAGTCGGTTGTGACAAAAGTTGAAAACTTCATTTTTTTTTTTCTTTTATTTTTCATTATTCTTGCCTTTTATTATCAGTTTCTTTATAAATCCAATCTTTGTCTGTCTTTGGGGGTTGGAAACATTACATATAAATTTACAGATATATTTTAATACATAGAAAATACACAAGTCATAAAAATTTACCTGCCAACGATACCACCAGTGACCGCCCTGACAGGGAACACAACAGAGAGTCCCTGACAAACAGGAGAAAAGTGGGGTGCAGAACTCAAATTCTAGTAAAAAGACCAGACTTAATGGTCTGACTGAGACTGGAGCAACCCCAGAAGACATAGCCCCCGGACTCTGTTAACCCAGAACTAAAACCATTCCAGAAGCCAACTCTTTAGACAAAGATTTGACTGGACTATAAGACATAAAATGATAGGAAGAGTGTGCATCTTTGTTCAAGTAGATATACAAGATTAAGTGGGCAGCTCCTGTCCGAAGGTGAGATGAGAAGCCAGAAAGGGATAGGAGCTGATTGAATAGACGGGAAATCCGGGGTGGAAAGGAGGAGTGTGCTGTCACATTATAGAGATAGTAACTAGGGTCACGTAACAACGTGTGTATAAATTTTTGTATGAGAAGCTAACTTGAGCTGTAAACTTTCACTTACAGCACAAAAAAATAAATAAAACCCCTGATGATGAAGAAGAGTTGTACGATTTTGGCGTTTTGTTAGTTGTAGTAATAATTCCACTTGTGGAAGGTTCTGGGTCATCTGGATTATCCTCGGGAATGAGCATGGCATTTCTAATCAGAAGATTAGTGAGAGTTGTCTGTATGGTCCTTTTATTATTTTTCTTCATGTATTTTACGGTAACATCTCACTACTTCCTGAAATTGCCTCTCGACTTTAGCAAAGCAATCATCGTTTGAGTTCGTGTTTTCAAGCAACTGAAGACCCTGATTTAGTTTAGAAAACTAAATCTGTACGGCAGCATTTTGAACAGTAAATCATAAAATTGAACATCTGCGAGTGAACATCTGAGACTGGTAACATCAGCAAATTATGCACTACAACATTATACATAGTACCTGGTACTAACCATAAGATACACAAAAAAAAAGATGGTCGTAAGTCAATTTGTCATAACTTGGAATATATCATAAGTAGGGGACTACCTGTAGTATGTTAGAAGAATAAAATAATTTAACCAGTACATAAACATCCTTTTTTCCTAGCACTAATTCAGTAGATATGAAATGTACATACTTTTTTCTCCTGTATTGGCAACCGTATTTTATAAGCTAATTTGCATTAATTAGTCAAGAAACCTTAATGAGTACTAAATCCTTTTTGTTTGTTAACTACAAAAGAAAATAATTAACAGCTGTTCAGCAGAAATGTTGATTCGTAGTTCCTTTAAAATGATTAACTATGAAAGATGTATTTTAATTGCCAACCTATCTCAAGCTTAAACTGCATAAAATCTATCAGTAAAATTCTGGTCCATAGGAACACATGTATTTTATATATGAGTATTCTGTGGTTTTGCCACTGGTTTGTTAAACTTGGGAAAGTAATTTAAGCCTGTTATCCATCCATTGTTGAAGACGCTGAGATTTTCAGAAAGTATTCTTTATTTCAGTAAACTAAAGAGTGATGAAATTCATTTTATTAAAGGTACAGTTTCATAGTTTTCAAATTTGGTTTGTATTATTTAATGTAAAGCTGTGACTAGGCAAGTAACTCCAGTAATAAAAACAATTATTTTACAGGTATTCACAGTTTTATATGGAAGATAGCTTTTGCCATTATAACATGTTTAACCATCATTTCTTTGATGGGAAGGTAAGAGTTACGACCAGTATCTCTTCTTTTATTTTGGAATAACAAATTCAAGGATACATCTTTTGTTATTTTTCTTAGTTTCCTCGAGATCAAATTGTGACTGTTCCATCATTTATTGATACTTATTTTTTATTAATTCACCAAGTATTTATTGAGTACCTAGAAGTGATCATGTTATTCCCCTTTCATGACTTCTTGCTGCTTTTGGGATAAAGATCCACATTCCTACCAAGGCCCATGCAGCTCTTTGTGATCTGAACCCTATTACCTCTCCATCCTCTCCTCTCCCTGTTCCCTTCTTTGCTGTTCACGCTCAGGGCACATGGCTTTCGTCTTGAACTGGTCAGATCTCCTTCACACCACCTTTGCCCTTACTGTTCTCTCTGCTTTCTACTCTCTTGTTGCCTTGTTAACTTGAATGCATCCTCCAGAGCACTGTTCAAACATCACTCCCTTCAGCCTACCCCAGCCCCCAGACAAGGTCAAGTTCTCCTTTATAGATGTGTTAGTTGCTGCTGAGTTGACTCTGACTCATGGCGCCCCTATGTGTTTCAGAGTAGAATTGCTCCATAGAGTTTTCATTGGCTATGACCTTTGGGAAGCCAATCACCAGGCCTTACTTCCGAGGTACCTCTTGGTGGGTTTGAACTGCCAACCTTTTGGTTAGTGGTCCAGCATCTTAACCATTGCTCTACCCAAGGGCTCCTTTATAGACTTACTGTACTGTAAATTAAATAATTTATTCTGTGTTTAGTTGTTGGGTGTCTGTCTTTCTAATAAATGCCATGTCCCAGTTAAGAAGATTTATGTTTTATTAAACTAATCCTTAAAAAATTGGACAAGTGGCTTAAAAAAAGCTTCTTTCAGTATGATGTTAGTAATGTCACTGCAAATAAACAACATAGCAGAGCTGATACTTCTAGTTTGAGCTCTTTGTTAGACTTACTACAAAATAAAAACTGTAGCCAACCAGATAATCACATCTGTCAGGAAGTTGCCTAAAAATGCATTAAAATTATCAAGAAGACTACTTGAAGCATACCTATAGATATATGCATATATTTTTTGTTTTGGACTGTTAACTATGCTCTAAGTGTATATTGTGCTTTGGGATATTAGCTAGTGATAAAATGAGACCATGATTAACAAGGGTGAAAAACTAAGCATTCAGGAAATGGAAACAGGCTCTAAATTGTTGGTTGGAATTGAAAAGTCTGCATTGGTAAGTACAACCAACGATGTATTCCTTTCATTTGAGTCAGTTTAGTATTGAGATCTATATGTCTCAGCTGTGATAGCTGATAAAACTGAATATTGGAATAAACAGCAATTAGAATTAGATGTATTTCACCATTTCCCAAAAGGTTTGTGTTGTTGATCACTGGGATTTCATAACTGATTAGATGAGAGTGAAAGAGAGTGGGGAGTTGAAAATTACTTGATGAGATGATGTGAGACCACTCAGCTAGGACCGTGGCAGTGGGAAAAAGAGGAGAGAAATGAACCCAGTAGGCATTTCACAGATGGCAACAAGAAGACTTAATGATAAGCTGTGCTGGGGAGAAGTCAAAGATGACTTGGTGGTATAGCCTAAATTTGTATTTTCCTCCTGGAAACAGACAGTGGCTTAGTCATCCAGTGCTGCTACAACAGAAGTACCACAAGTGGATGGCTTTAACAAAGAGAAGTTTATTCTCTCACAGTCTAGTAGGCTAAAAGTCCAAATTCAGGGTGTCAGCTCCAGGGGAAGGCTCTCTCTCTGTCGTGTCAACTCTGGAGGAAGGTCCTTGTCATCAGTCTTCCCTCGGTTTGGGAGTATCTCCCAAAGGACGTGCTCTGCTCCCAGCACTGTTTTCTTGGTGGTATGAGGTCCCCATGTCTCTCTGCTCACTTCTCCTATGTCTCAAAAGAGATTGGCATAAAACACTATATCTAATCTTGTAGATCTCATCAGTGTAACTGCCACTAATCCATCTCATTACATCATAGTGATAGGATTTACAACACATAGGGAAATCACATCAGATGACAAAATGGTAGACAATCATACAATACTGGGAATCATGACCCAGCCAAGTTGACATATATTTTGGGGGGATACAATTCAATCCATGACCGAGGGTAAGGACTTCTGGAAGTAAAGTTGAGAAATGTTAAATTTTGGGACTAGTTGGGTATTGATGTGGAGGTTTCCAGTAGGGCCAATTGATACTCTGGGGCCTTCAGTCAGGGGTGAGGTCAGAGCAGATGACATAGTAAATTAAGTAATTAAGTTTGTATTACTACTTGATGCTGCAGTGGTGGGCTAGTGATTTTTTTTTTTTTTTTAAACACCATACGTGATTTTGCTTTTTATTTCAAATAAAGACAAAAGAAAAGTAAGATTACGTTTAAATACCTAACTGTTGGCTAGTGATGTTATGTATTTTAAAAAGGTAACATGTAATTAGCCTTTTTCTAGAAAATTCTAAGTATATTATTGAAAGTTTATAGAATAAGTTTATAAAATAAAGTTTATAGACTAACTGTTAGAATAAGCTATCTGCAAAGACTGAGCTTTCACTTCATCTTTCCTAAAACAAAAAACCCCTTTGGCACAGGCTTTCCTCACTGTGTATGTTAGGAGCAGTTGCTCAGTAGCACTGCAGCTGTGTAAACTGATACACAGAAAACTAGTGTTTCAGTGAGTTTAACATCTCCCTTTTCCTACCTACTCCGAGTCAAGTTTTTCAGTAGAGAGTTACATCTACTAATCAATCACTCAGTAAGTATCTACTAGGTGTCTGTGGGAGTCCCTGGGTGGTACAAACAGTTAAGCGCTCAACTACTAGCTGAAAGGTTGGTGGTTCAAAATGAAGTTTTATTTGTTCTAGGCTGCCCTTGAAGAGTGCAGAGCATTTTTACAAGAAGATGAAGGCGAAGGAGTCATTATGGTGACAGATCCTCCTTTTGGCGGCCTGGTTGAACCTCTGGCTATTACATTCAAGAAGTTAATTGCTCTGTGGAAAGAAGGTCAAAGCCAAGGTATGTGATTTATTACTTCCTGCAAAATAAACATGCATCTGCTTCCTGTCAAATACTAGCAGAGCCCCGTGAATCAGAACACTGAGAAAATGTACGTCTTGACTGTGTGTCTTTTTTTAAACAGGCTTATTTTTTTGAATTTTTGTTTATTTGATCATATGGCAAACTTTATTACCATGATACGCTTGGTAATAACCTAATCATGTGTTTATAAAATGGCTTATAGGTAAAATATTAGTTTTTGGTGGAGATAGAGCACATTGTAAAGGACAGCAATGAGCTGTTGTCCTTCAATCAGTGAATATTTACTGAGTGTTTAGGTACTGGGAATAGAGTAGTGAACAAAACGCACAAATCGCTGCCCATGTGAGCCTGACGTTTCCTGCTCTTGAAATCCTGCCCCAAACTCTCTGAGGGCACCAGGCTCTGGCCCAGAGCTCTAAATTTTGCCGAGATCGGTATGTGGAGGTCAGACATCCAGCTTCTCAGTGACACACAGATGCCCAACCCTGAAGATGGCTTCATGGCCTTGTGTTACTCTTCAGCTTAAAGTGGCTTAGGACTTCAAAGTATTTTATGTAATTACCTAGTTAGTCAACATAATCATTTTTTTTTAAGATAAGAGTTTCTAGTTTGCAAATTGATAAATTGTATGAGTGTCAGGAGTTATGTGATCAAGCATCTCCATTAAGTGCACTACATAAGCCGTGTGCATTGGGGATAGAATGCAAACAGAATCCGAAACATGACTTATAGTCTTAAGTATTTCACTTATGCCATTCTAAAGTCCACTTTTCAGAAGATACAATCAATGTTATTGGGGAAGGAATAAAGAACTTTGTGGGTTTGCATTCCGTTTCTGCCACATATTAGTGTGAGCTGGAGCATGTTACTTGACATCTGGGGCTTCCATTTCTCCATTTGTAAAATGAGGTTATTAGTATCTGTCTTAGTCATCTAGTGCTGCTCCAATGGAAATACCACAAGTGGATGGCTTTACAAAGAGAAATTTATTCTCTCACAGTCCAGTAGGCTACAAGTCCAAATTCAGGGCATCAGCTCCAGGGGAACACTTTCTCCATTGGCTCTGGAGGAAAGTCCATGTCATCAGTCTTCCTTTGGTCTGGGAGCTTCTCTGCGCAGGAACCTCAGGTCCAAAGGATGTGCTCTGCTCCCAGCACTGCTTTCTTGGTGGTATGAGGTTCCCGTGTGTCTCTGCTTGCTTCTCTCTTTTATATCTCAAAAGAGATTGCATTAAGACACTGATCTTGTCAACCTCATCAGTATAACCTCATCACAGTGATAGAATTTACAACACATGAGGGGATCACATATAATCTCATCATAGTGGTAGAGTTCACAACACATAAGGACATCACATCAGATAACACAATCATACAATACTAGGAATCGTGACCCAGTCAAGTTGCTACACATATTTTTTGGGTGACACAATTCAATCCATGACAGCATCTAACAAAGGATAATTTTAAGGAGACAGTACGGTCAGTGAAAAAGAGGAAGACCCTCAACAGATGGATTGACACAATAGCTGCATCAATGGGCTCAAGCATAACAGTGATTGTGAGGATGATGCAGGACTCAGCAGTGTTTCGTTCCATTGTACATAAGGTCGCTATGAGTTGGAGCCGACCCAATGGCACCTAACAACAACAACAGCAACCTAGCATAGTGCCTAGCCTATACTGGGTGCTCTGTAAATAATAGCTCTATGTCCTGCCTCTCCAAAAATTCATTTTGATGATTGTTTTTAAGAATCTTTTCATAATTCAGAGGATTGATTCAAGATAGTGAGATGTGGCAGAACTAGGATTTAGACTTAAGGCCTTCTGCCTCCTAGGTCAGGCTTCTATTCACTGCAACGGAGCTACCTTTGTGTTTCAAAGTGACAGTCCTTTTTTATTTCCCACTTCTTTATTAATATCTCTGCCTTTACCTTGATTACGTTGTTATTGTTAGGTGCCATTGAGTTGATTTCATCTTATATCAACCCCATATGACAGAGCAGAACTACCCCATAGGGTTTCCTAGGCTGTAATCTTTACAGAAGCAGATTGCCAGGTCTTTCTCCTGTGGAGCTGCTGAGTGGGTTTGAACTCCCAACCTTTCAGTTAGCAGTGAGCGCTTAAGCGTTGTGCTGTCAGGGCTCCTTATGACGATATACATACAAGGATTATTTTTATGTACTCTTTGTATCTGTGTTTAGACATAAAAGAACATCTGCACTGACCTTTGAGAGAGTCAGGTTGTAAATGTCACTCTGGTGAAATTTCTCTCTTTTTTGTATGAGATTTAAGTTTATTGAACAAATGCAATTTCTCCTGATACCACAAGTTTCTCAATTATAGTTATCTATTTTATTTTTTCCTTAATGCCAATTTCTGATCTCTCCTCCCCCCTTTTTTTGTGATCTACTAGATGACAGTCACAAAGAACTACCCATTTTCTGGATTTTCCCCTATTTTTTTGAATCTCGAATTCGTCAGTTTTTTCCAAGCTTCTGCATGCTGGATTACCAGGTATAGTAAATATTCTCCTATCTGGCATGGTTGGGAATGGGTATTCTGCTTAAATAAATCTTTCTGATAAGACTGTCTATCATCTTTGGTAAATTAAAACACTCTATGCTGTATTAAACCCTAAAATTATACCACACGTAGCTTAGTCCAGCGGTGCCTAAATGTCTGTAATAGCCAGGGTGCTTGATAAAAATAAAGATTCTTCAGTACCAAATTAAAGCTACTGAGTCAACATCAGAGGGTGAAGTCCCAGGGAAAAAAAATATTTTTACCAAGCTTCCCAGGGGATTCTGAAGTACAACTATTTTTTGGAAAAACTAATCTAATCTTTTATTATCACTGGAACATTTTTTACACCCTAGGATCATCATTATGAACACCAGTTCTCCCTGTTTGGAGGTTGTAGAGAAGTAAGTCGCTTTTTCTAGTTGGTAGGGTTCCATGTGCAGTTTACTATGCACTCAGTTTTACCATTTGTAAAACATTTCTCTAGGTTTATTATTATTATTATTATTCCTTTCTGAGTCTTTTGATTTTTTCCTTTTTTTTCTATTACTTTAGGCTCATTTTGTGGTATAGTACTTTTTTCCTTTTATGTTAGTCTTCTTCATCAAATGAAAAATTTCAGAGTCTCTTCTCCTTCGTCATTGATCTTTTCCCGTAGACCTTGATTAGGCCTTCTTTCTGACATTGCCTAAGATGACTATAAGCCCCCAAACCACAGTGCTGTGAAAAAACAAAATCACTAAATCTCTTACTTCAAAATACTTTTCAGGTAAGAGAAGAGAGGGAATGCTTCAAATCTTCATAAAACATAAATTATGTAGACACTTCAGTGATAAAGCAATTGAGGAGTACTGAATAAAAATTTCTAGTCATCAAAGCTTGAGAAAACCAAGAGTTTGTCAAGGGCAGATTAGAAAAGAAGGATGGGATAATGAAAAATTCTGATTTTAAGTCAGAAGAAGTTTGAGTTGTCACACTGCCTGTTAGAGGCTGTTTAATTTTGAGAGAACTCATTTTATCTTCCCAGCTGTTTCCTTCCTTACCTATAAAATAAAATGATTGAACCAGAACAGGGATGGCAGATAAGTTTCACTTCTATTGCTAAGCCTGATAAATTGGTAGTGACTTTCTGGAACATTCGTTGAGAATACCAGGCTCGGTGGCAAAGAGTAATGTGATTGATTAGTGATGTCTGCCAGGGGGCAGGGTCATTAGTGTCCTGTATTTGCCATATCTGAACTAGGTGGTCTCGCAACCTTACATCCTGAACGTTCTATGATTTTTCGTTTCTACGTAATATAGGACACTTGCCTCAATTGTTAAGAGTAGAGCTATTTGCTTTTATTTGTTATCTTTTTTTTTCTTTTTAAAAATCAACCTGTATAAGAACTTTAGTGTTTTTTCAGGGCTAGTTTCACATTCAGAAATGAAGATATTTTGACAAGTATTTTAAGAAATTATTGCAAATTACATGATGGCAACTTAAATTCTGAAAATTCAGTATATAACAAGCATAAACCATTTAGTGGGTTTGGAGTGAAAAGGAAGATAGGTATATACAGTAATGTTAAATAAGAAGTTATGTGGGATATGGGGAATACAACTAAAAGACTTTATTGGTGTGGTAGAAATTGGTTGATGGAGCTAAAGAGTGCACTTGGGACCTTTTGAGTATACTGAAATTAAATATAACTCAGTTCTCAGGGAGTTATGAAAATGCAAATGCTCTGTCTTATTTAATCTTCGATTCCCAGCATGATGCTTGGAATATCCCCTCCACACGCCCCCCCAAAAAAAAAAACCCGTTGCCGTTGAGTCGATTCCGACTCATAGCAGCTGTATAGCACAGAGTAGGACTACCGCATAGGGTTTCCAAGGAGTAGCTGGTAAATTCAAACTGCCAGCCTTTTGGTTAGCAGCCTAACGCCTAACTACAGCATCACCAGGGCTCCGCCTGGAACACAGTAGGTGCATGATAAATGTTTGTTGACTTGGATGTCTTGTTCTCTGTGTAACTAGTTTCAGTCTCATGTTACGGAAGACATTTGCGTATAGATAAAATTAAAAGTTAGGAATTGCAGAGATTTTATGCTTTTCCTCATTTCTATACAGTACTTCATCACATTAGTCAGTTCCATGAAAGAAATTTCCTATTTGAAAATGCCTCTCATCATCATTGTGAGTGAAATGAAAGGAATAATGACAGGAAAATGGTTTATCAGCTCTACCGCCAGTGATACGCAATTTGCAAAATTGTGTTTGCTTTACAGCACTTCCATAGGAGGTTTATTTGTGTGGATAAAGCTATGAAATATGGGTGCACGTTAGAGGTTCGTTAATTTACCCTAGAAGCGTGCATTTTATATACCATATGTTTATACTTAATTAGTACAACAAACCCATATTTAAAAATAATAATAATCTCAATTAGGTTATGCAAAATCAGGCAATCAACCACCTCCCTGACACATATATTCTCTTAACTCCTTGGGTAACCATAAAGAAATTATTCTTGTTTTCTTTCTCTCTCTCTTCCATCTGCTATTATATTGCACAGAATAGTCTATATACTAGAGATTTTTCTAAAATATTTTCCAACGTTTGAAAATCTTTGTAAGATTCTCTTGTGAAGAATTTTTTTCCTTATGACACTCATAAATGTTCAAAACATCTTTGTTGAATTTAATAAACAACATTTATTAAGTACACAGAGGAGTGTATTAGGGAAAATTATGATTTAAATCATTTTAAAAGAAAACTAAGGTACTATTTTGAAGTGATTTTGAAGTAAAATCTATTTTTGTATATTAGTCTTTAATAGGTAACATATAATCATAGAATTTTAAAGTTGGAAAGAAACAGAGGTAACCTAGGCTAACTTCCCAGTGTAAAAACCCTCTTCACTAAATTCATGACAAGCAGTCATCTAGCCTCACTTGAATGCTTTCAGTGAGCTGAGTCCTACAGCCCTACAAGGTAACTCAATTTATTTAATAGCTCTAATCGTTAGAAAATTTTCTCACATTGAGATAAAATATGCTCCCCATTAACTTCTAACCATTGGTTCTAGTTCTGTTCTCTGAAGCAATTAAGGATAAGTCTAATTTTTATTCCACATGACAACCTTTCAGTTATAAAATAGCTGTCAAATTCTCTCAGTCTTCTCTTTTCTGAATAAATACCTACAATTTGTTAAACTATAAATTGTATTTATTCCTATTATTTTCAGTAAAAATGAACCAGTTTATCAATGTCTCTGTTAATGACTGAATACCCAAAAACCAAACCTGTTGCTGTTGAGTGAATTCCGACTTATGGCAACCCCAGGTGTTACAGAGTAGAATTGCTGCATAGGGTTTTCTTGGCGGTAATCCTAATGGAAGCAGATCACCAAGCCTTTCTTCCATGGTACTGCTGGGTAGGTTCAAACTGCAAATCTTTAGGTTATTAGTGAAGTGCAAACTGGTTGTGCAACCTAGGGAGCTTAATAACTGAATGTGGGTCTTCGTATGTGATCTAACCTCATACTTTTCTTGTGATATTATACTTCTTGATAGGCCCACTGTGAGCCCACACCAGCTTTTACGGTTGGGCTGCACTGTGGACTCACTGTGCTAACAGCTGAAAACCTCTTAAGTTTTTTTTCCACACTACCCTTTGTTTAGCTGGGTGTCCTTACCCGGTACTCATTTTCCCCTACTGCTTAAGCTTATTAGTTATTCTTTCTAAATTTGTTCATGTGTAATTTGGTAGGTCTTTCTCCCATGACTTATCCAGGGCATTGGTGTTAAACTGGACAGGGCCTAAGACAGAGCCTTGGGATGTGCCATGTGAGGCCTCTCTTTCCATTGTTAGCAGTTCCTTACATTTTTGTGATTTGACTGTTAAGTAGCTAACTTGCAAGCCAATTCTGTTGTGAATCCTTAAGTGTGTTCTTGTTTAAAACTCAAACAATTCATTACAACTTTTTTGTAAGTTGGGATCTACCTGTGTTAACCTCATAAAAATCTGATGATATTCTTGTGGACTATCTAAAGCAGTAGTTCTCAAACTTAAGTGTGTTAAAACACAGGTGTCTGGGCCCCACCTCCAGAGATTCTGATTTATTAGAGCCTGGGTGGGGCCCAAGTATTTGCATTTCTAACAAAATCTCAGATGTTGATGCTCTTGACCCACAGATCACTCTTTGAGAATGACTGATAAAAAGAAAGCTGAATTTAGTGCCCAGGTGGATTCCTGGCAGATTTAAAACCAAATTAAAAATGTGTATGAGTAATAGAGGGGTTGGAGGAGTAGAAGGAAGCAGAAAACTAATAGAAATCATTCTTCTTGACTTCAGTTTACTTTCAAGATAATCTGCTGAAACTGGAAGTTGAGTTAGAGATCTTGAGGAGAGAGGTGAATGTTTGAAATTGTCCTGTGGGGAGAACAACTAGAGTTGTGAATCTCTGTCTTCGTCTCCATCTTTCTGTTTACCTCTCCCCTATGCCAATGTTTTGGATTTTATCAAGGGTTGCTTTGTGGCCTAGAATGTGGTTTATTCTGGAGAATGTTCCATGTGCATTGGAAAAGAATGTGTAGTTTGCTGCTATTGGGTACAGTGTTCTGTGTATGTCTTTGAGGTAAGTTGGTTGATGGTGGCATTTAGATCTTCCGTATCTTTGTTGAGTTTCTTTCTAGATGTTTTGTCCTTTACCAAGATTGGTGTGTTGAAGCCTCCTACTATAATTGTGGAGCTATTTCTCTTTTCAGTGCTGTTATAATTGTGGAGCTATTTCTCTTTTCAGTGCTGTTAGAGTTTGTTTTATGTATTTTGGAGCCCTGTTATTGGGTGCATAGATATTTATTAAGGTTATGTCTTCTTGGTGGATTGCCCCATTAATCATTATATAATGTCGTTCCTTATCTTTTATGGTTGATTTTGCCTTAAATTCTATTTTATCTGAGATTAGTATTGCCACACCTGCCCTTTTTTGGTCACTGTTTGCTCCATATGTATTTTTCCATCCTTTGATTTTTAATATATTTATGTCTTTGTTTCTGAGGTGTGTCTATTGTAGACAGCGTACTGATGGATCATTTTTTTTTAATCCATTCTGCCACTCTCTGTCTCTTTATAGGTGCATTTAGGCTATTTACATTCAGTGTGATTATTGATAGGTGTGAGTTTATTGTTGTCACATTGTTGTGCTTTTTTTGAGGAGTGGGTGCTGACGTTTCCTTTATTCCTCTTACTTTCCTGTGCTGAGTTTCGTTTGTGGATTTTCTTTCTTTCATTATTATAGGTTTTTGTTTACAGAGTCTTTATATTTTTCTTCTTTTTTGTTCTGATGAATAGGTTTGTTAACTTTCTTTGTGTTTACCTTGAAATTTACCATTATCTTCCTAAGTTTGAATCAATCTTTTATTACTTGATATCGCCTTGACTTCCTCTTCATTTGAGAATTCTATACTTATGCGTTTTATTCCCCTTTTTATTCTTTTGACATTGTTGTCATTTACGGATTGACATCTGTGTTTACCTGTTTTAAGTCTTTTAGCTTTGTTTTATTACTGAGAGTTCTTTACCTAGGTTGATATCTGGCTGATGGCCATCCTGTGTCCTAGACTCAGTTGTTGTCTAATGTTGTTGGTTCTTTAACTGAAGGACTCCCTTTAATATTTCTTGCAAATTTGGTTTGGCTTTTACGAATTCATGTAATTTATGTATATTTGGAAATGTCCTAATTTTGTCATGTTTCTAAGAGAGAGTTTTGCAGGATATATTATTCTTTGTTGGCAGTTTTTTTTCTTTCGAGGTTTTATATATGTTGTCTCATTGCCTTTGTCTGCAGTTTCTGCCGAGTAATTAGAGCTTAGTCTTAATGGTTCCCCTTTGTAAATGGCTTTTCATTTTTCTCGAGCTGCTCTCAGGATTCTCTCTTTGGTTTTGGCAAGTGTGATTATGATATGTCTTGGTGACTTTCTTTGGGGTCTATCCTATATGGAATTCATTGAGCTTCTTGGATGGTCAGCTTTTCATCTTTCATTATATTTGGAAGTTTTCTGCCAGCAATCTTCTCTGTGTTTTCCATCTTCTCCCCCTATTCTGGAACCCTGATCACATGCATATTTTTGCTCTTAATTGTGTCCCATTTAATTCTTAGGTTTTCTTCATTCTTTTCTCTGATTTTTCCTCAAACAAAGTGGCATCCTTGGATTTGTTTTTAATCTTGCTGATTCTGTCTTCCAGTGTTTCAGATTTGCTCTTAAACCCTCTATTGAGTTGTCCATTTCTGAAATTGTGTTGCTTATCTTTCGGATTTCTAGTTGCTGTTTTTGTATGATTTCTAATTATTTATTTTTACATTTTGTTCTTGTATTATTTTCTTGAATTCTTCTGTTTGTGTTTTCCTTGATTTTGGCTATATTTTCGTTGGTTTTCTGTTTTCCATGATTTTGTCTATTTTTTCCTTCATTTCTTTTCTGTTTTCCTTGCTCTCTTTCCTAATCTCTTGGAGAGCCCTAAATATTAAGTCTTTTGAATTCCATATCAGATAGTTCCACTGCCTTTTCTTCTACCAGAAGGGTATCTGAATCTTTATTTTGATCACTTGCTGGAGCCATCTTATCCTCCTTTTTATGTGTTTTGATATTGTCTGCTGTCTCCAAGACATTAAGTATTATTTACCTTATTTACTGATTGTATGTTCATTTGTTTCAACCTGCTTTTTTGTTTTGCTTTGGTAGGTCAGGCATGCTTGCTGCTTGCTCATCTATGGGCACGATAGCTCTCACCACCTTTTGCGGGTGGTCAGGGCAGCAGCAGGCAGGGCGAACCTACTTCACTGTACACTGGTTTGATGAAGTGGCTGAGGGTGGACTGGTGGATGCTGTCTGCTTCCTGATGTTGGCCCAGCATTGTGGTAGTGTTCACAGCCCCTCGCCAGATAGGTGGTGGTGTCGGATGGGGAGTGGTACTGGCCTACTTCCCACCGTTCAGCAACTGGCTAAGTGGTGGGAGGGGAGGAGTGGTGTGGGGCCAGTGAGGTAGTGGGCCTGAGCACCAGGGAGGCTCCAGCCATGGCAGCATAGTGGGGGCTGGTGGGAAGGGAGTGATGTAGTACGGGGCTAGGGGGGTAGAAATGAGAGATAAAGAAAAAAAGTAGCTGGCAGGTGGGGTTGGAGCAGACCTGGGGGCTAGGTGGGAGTGGGAAAGAAAAGGAAGAAAGAGAAAAGAAAAACGAAAAAAAAAAATGAAAAGGGAAAAATGGTGGCGCAGTGGAGGTTGGCCATTGGGGGCAGGGTGGATCCAGGGGCCGGGGGAAGGAAGAGGAATTGACATACTGGACTAGGCGGGAGGGAGGAAGAAAATAAAAACATACAGGAAGAGAAAAAAAAATGACATTCTGGGGGCCGTGGGTGGGGGTGGGGTGTACCTGGGGCAGCGGCGGGCCAGTGCGTCCGTGGCTCTCTAGCCACAGTGGCGTAGCAGGGTCCGGTGGGAAGGTGGGGAGGTAGAGTACAGGGCTAGGTGGGAGGGCGAGAAAAAGGAAGAAAGAGAAAAAAGGAAATAAATAAATAAATAAAAATAAAAAAACTAGCTGTGTGGTTGGGGCCAGTGATTAGGGGTGAGGCAGACCCGAGGGCAGGTGGGAAGGAACGGGAGGTGGACTGCGGGGCTGGGTGGGAGGGGAAAAGTAAAGAAAGAAAATAAAGAGAGAAAACAATGGCAGTGTGGCAGGAGCTGCTGGGTGGGGGCAAGGCAGACCTGGGGTGGTAGTGGGCCAGTGGCTCTGTAGCCACTGTGGCGAGGCAGGGTCTGGAGGTGGGGGGGGAAGGGAGTGACGTATGGGGCTAAGTGGGAGGAAGAAAGAGAATAGATAAAAAAGAAAAACAAACTGGCAATTTGATGGGGGTGGTGACTGGTGATAGGGTAGACCTGAGGGCTGGTTGGAAGTGAAGGGGGGCGATTTACGGGTCCAGGTGGGAGGGAGACAGGAGGAAAAAGAAGAGAAAGAAAAAAGAGAAAAATAGGCACAGCTTGAGCCAGTGAGGGGGGGCCTTGTGGCCAGTGGGTCTCTAGCTGCAGTGGTGTGGCATGGCCTGGCGGGAAGAGGGGGAGGTGGTGTATGGGGCTAGATTGAAGGGAGAAAGAAAAAGAAGAAAGGGAAAAGAAAAAAAGATGGCATGGTGGGAGTCAGTAGGTGGGGGTGGGGCAGACCCAGGGTGGTGACAGGCCGGTTGCTCTCTGGCTGAGGCAGCATGGTGTGGTCCATTGGGAAGGGATGGAGGTGGCGTACGGTTCTAGGTGGGAGGAAGAAAGAAAAGGAAGAAAGGGAAAAAAAATGTTGCAGTGGGAGACAGTGGGGGTGGGGCAGACCTGGAGCAGCAATGAAACTGTGGCCCTCTAGCCAAAGTGGCATGATGTGGCCTGGCGGGAAGGAGTGGAGGTGGCATATGAGCTAGGTGGGAGGGAGAAAGAAAAGGAAGAAAGAGGAAAAAAACTAAAAAAAATGCCTTGGCAGAATCTGGCGGGTGGGGTGGGGCAAACCTAAGGTGGCAGTGGGTCACTGGCTCTCTAGCTGACGCAGTGTGGCCCAACAGAAAGGGATGGAGGTATTGTACAGGGCTAGGTGGGAGGGAGAAAGAAAAGGAGGAAAATGGGGAAAAAATGGTGTGGCAGGTAGGGGCGGGGTGGACCTGTGGTGGCAGTGGGCCGGTGGCTCTCTAACCAAGCGGCATGTTGTGGCCTGTTAGGAAGGGGTGGAGGTAGCGTATGAGGCAGAAAGGTTAGGGATGGAAAGCGTGTTTCTCTGGTTACCAGGTGCTCTGTCTCCTGTAGGGAGCTCTGTGAAGTTGCCTTCCTGTACTCCCTGTCTGGGGTCGTTGCTTTCTCTGTTCCAAGATGGCAACGCTGTGCTGTGTTGATTGGCAGGAGACCTCCACTCTGTATCTCTCCTTGTTCTCTGTTTTCCATCAGTTTCTTCTTCCATTCAGTGTTTTATCTAGTTCTTTATTCCTTCATTTGATGCTTAGGGTTACAGGATTAACGTTTGTATCTGTTTTAGTCAGTCTTTCGGTCTTTGCTGCACGGGAATGGCATGGTACGTCTGTCTGTGGTGACATATTGGCCCTACCTCCTCTTGGTTAACAAATCTTGTGTTGACTCATTTGAGTAAATTTTCTTCTTGCCTTTTTTTTTTAAACTTTCCAGGTAGATTATGATAATCATGCACTTTATAAACATGGAAAGACAGGTCGAAAACAGTCTCCTGTGCGGATTTTCACCAACATTCCACCTAACAAAATAATCCTTCCTACTGAAGAAGGCTACAGGTAAGATCACAGTGGGACTTCGATGTCTATGAATCACTGAAAATGAAGATACAAAATGGAACAACCAGAGCGGAAACAATGAGAATGTTCACACATTTTGAAGGATGTAACCAACGTCACTGAACAACTTGTGTAGAAATTTTTGAATGGGAACCTAAACTGATGTGTAAACGTTCACAATAAAATATTATTATTAAAAGAAAAGAAAGATACATAGCTCTAAAAGTAAAATTTGTTTAATATGGATTCATATATACTTCTATTAATTTTAAATTTGGTCCATAATTTTATATTGAATTTGGATTACATCCAATTTTTGTAACAGGTGTCTTGTAAACTGTTATCTACTCTGTTAATCTCAATGACTACCTCTGGTTGGTTCTCTACATTTATTTCTTTCCTCTAGATTTTGCCCTCTGTGTCAACGATATGTTTCTTTAGAGAATCAACACTGTGAGCACTGTGATTCTTGCACATCCAAGGTACTGTTTTCTTATAGAATACCTCTTTATTAGTTTTATTTTAGTTTATTAATTTCATTACATTTGTGTAATTTTTTTTAATATTATAATTTACATCAATATGTGTGCTCTTTCATGAGTTTTGCTTTAATGCTATATTTTAATTATAATTATGGAGCTCAGCAGGCTTTTTAAAATACTTAGTTGGCTTCATCATCATCAGCAATTATTTGAATTCATTTTTATATAGTACTATATGACTGCTAAAATTATGAGTGTTTCAAATAAGGCACTAAATGAGTGCTAAATTTATATATACATGTGTATATATAAAATTTATATATACTTATGACTTTCAAATAAAGTATTGAGCTACTAGATACCATCACTGTTCCAATGAAATAATAACATGTATTCTGCACATTTATGTGCCAGGCCTTTTTCTGAAAGCTTTATATGGATTAACTCATTCAGTCCTGACAACAGCCTTACAAAGTAGGTAGTTATTCCTGATTCTCACAGATGAGGGAAGGCTACAAGGGACGTAAAACAAAACAAAACAAAACCCAGTTACTGCTAAGTTGATTCTAATTCATGGCAACTCCATGTGTGCAGAGTAGAACTGTGCTCCATACGGTTTTCAAGGCTGTGACCTTTTGGAAGCAGATTGCCAGGCACCCCTGGGTGTGTTTGAATTGCCAAACCTGCAGATAGTAGTCGAGCAAGTAACAGTTTTTGTTACCCAGGGATTCCAGACAAAGGAAATACCTCTATTTATTATTTAGGAAGGTAGGATGATGCTTAAGATGCTTTGTTTATTATAACTAAATCTGGTTAGAAAGGGCGTGTGAATCTCCGTTTGGCTGATCAGCACAAACTATTCCCCAAAGAAACGTTATATAACTACTAGAAAGTGTTTTTCATAATTGTATAATTTCATTACTGGTTATACTTGTTTTTAACTATGTAGCACATCTGATGACATATTCCTTCCATTAGTTTAGAAATTATTTGTATTCTTCATTTCTAAATATTATGCCCCACATCATAGAAAGTTCAAAATGGAGAAGACAAAACTTTAGTATTTAGGGATAGACACATAAGCTGTAAAAATAAACAAAAGCAAGGTATGATCACAAAAACCAGAATAGGTGTTACTCCCTAGGGAAGGAGGAAGGCTGTGATTGGGAAGGGGCACATGGGAAAGTTCCTAGGGGGCTGCTGAGAGTTGACTTCCTGACCTGGTGGGCTTTATCAATGTTTACTTTATAATACAGGTAGTTCTCAGCTTATGACATATTCAAGTTATGATGAACTGCACTTAACTACCATCTGGGTTTTTTTTTGGTACCTCTTATAGTTAGTAATATGTACTACATAAAGTGTTGCAGCACGTAATTTGCTGATGTTATTATTTGCCGATGTTCACTCGCAGGTGTTCAGTGTTACGGTTGTTTACTGTTCAAAATACTGCCATATGGCAGGCTCTGGCAATAATAATGAAAACTTAAAAAAAAAAATCAGAACTGACTTACAGCGAAGTCATTCGAATGGAACCCCATTGTAAGTCGGGGACTACCTGTACTCATTAAGCTGGACATACATGTTTTATGCATTTTTTGAGATATGTTTTATTTCACAGTTTTAAGATTACTCAGACAGGAACCAGTAATATCTATCCAAATTACATAAAGTTCTCAAATTTGAATTTCATTAAGGATTGTACAATATGGATACATAAAATTATGAATCATTCTTTTGAAATTTTTATTGAGTCCTTTTTTGTGCAGATTGGTTTGCTGCATGGACTTTCAAGATCATTGAGATAAATCTTCTAGTTTTCAGTTAAGGAAATTGAGGCCCAGAGAGGAGACATATAGTTGAGTGGAGAAATGCATAAATTAAATCAAAGTATTTAATTGTGAAGCCCAGGAAAGTGAGAAATAAGGAATGAATAATTTACACAGATTTTAATAAGACATTTTAATTTTTAATTGTGGAACCTGATTTTTAGTGACAAATTAAACATAATTTATAAATTGTTTTTGTAGGATGGCAGGAAATGGAACCATTGCTTTCTCTGCAAAAAGTGTGTAAAGCCTTGTGAGTATTGAGACTTGGTGTTTGACAGCCTTTCTGGAAAACATTTTAGAATTTTTCTTCATCTAAATAGGATTTTTGTTTAATTGTATTCATAAAAGAAAAAATAATGAATGTAGAGACTTGCATTCATTTACTTGCTTTTTAAGTTTTATGGTTACTAAATTGTACATTCTCTGCTTCATAGGGACAAGCAATTCTCCTAACCTGTTTCAGTGCAGTAGTTGATTTGGCTTATTTTAACAGGGCTTTGTGTCACTTGGCCAGCCCCTGCTATCTCAGTGGCTGGGAGCTTATTGGAGAAGGGCTAAATTTGGTGCCTTGTAACAAGAAGAAGTTGGTGGCTTACGTGGGATTCTAAGCTCTTTACCTTGTTTTCTTTAGCCAAATTGTAACCAGATATGCAAACCAATCACAATATTTGAAGTAAACACTATGCATGCTTTCTTATCTTAAAAGTTAGTAAAGTGAAAAATTATAGTAAGTAAACTTACTGTAAAACTTAATTTTTATCTTTCAGCCTGGATCCACTGTAGCATTTGCAATCACTGTGCTGTTCCAGACCATTCCTGTGAGGGTCCTAAAGATGGCTGCTTTATTTGTGGTGAATTAGATCACAAACGCACCACTTGCCCTAACATCTCCTTATCTAAGAGAGCTAACAAGTTAGTTGAATTCTTTTATTTACTAGAAAAATTTTTCCTTGCACGACTCTTACAAAGCAAGCTGTACAAGTATGCAGTAGTCAGAGGATTCAGACATGCTAAGTTAATTGTTACATTCACTATTATTGTTGAAAAGATACTAACAAAACTTGTAAAGTCACAATCTCTATTAGTAATCATTTACTCAAAAATTATGTGTTGTTTGCATAGATGGGGGACGAGAGGATATGAAGATGAGTAAAAGAGCTTGCTTTCCTAAAGTTTACAATTTTACAGGCTGAGACATGAAAATAACCAAAAAATAAGGCAGCAAGTGATTAACTGCACATCTCCTATGTCCAGCTGTAATTTGATAGAGGGTGAGGTTATATTTCACTGTAGGGTAAGAGTTCATGCTTATTGAAGGACTCTGTAAGGCAGGCTTCAAGGGACAGATCAGATTCAGACTTGTGGTAGCAGGAAAGTCTGGAGAAGGCATTTCAGATTGAATGTAACGTGTAATTCCATAGTAGAAAACTCGTTGCTGTCGAGTCAGTTCCGACTCATAGCGACCCTATAGGATAGAGTAGAACTGCCCCATAGAGTTTCCGAGGAGCGCCTGGTGGATTTGAACTGCTGACCTTTTGGTTAGCAGCTGTAGCACTTAACCACTACACCACCAGGGTTTCCAATTCCATAGTAGAGAAATCATAAAATAATTTTTATAAGTAAATCAGATGAAAGGGAAATATTTAGAAATATTTAATATTTAAATATTTCAAACTTTTATTACCTTTCTTTTCTATCATTATTTTCACTACTACCACCAATATTTGGTATTGATTATAAACCAGAGAAAAGTTATACGGGTGACATTAGCATATTTGGGAAAACCATTGCTGTTTCAACTGGGCTAATTTGAATGATTATAATTATCCTTTTTTTTTTTTTTTAACTAAAGGGATGATAGAGGTTGAGTCCTCTTATTTTGTTGATAAGAAAATGGAGACTCTTGCCTAAAGTCACACACTTATTAGGTGCAGATTACCAGATACCCAAATTTAACATTTCATGAACATTGAAATCAAGATAGAAAATTCTGAGCTATCATATGAGTTGTGATGAAAAAACACTTATTAGTATTAGAAGTATATGATGCATTAGTTACTATTTTGTGATTTGTGTTAGAATTCTTTTCTATTTTTTGATTTATTTTTATTAGTAAATTTCTTTTTTCCATTAAGACTCAGCCACTTAAACTCTACCTCCTACTTAAACTGCCTCTTCCATTACTTTTTATCAAATTTATGCTTATTTTAAATAATTATTTCCATTAAGTAACCCAGAGTGGAAATGGAGTTTTAAAAAATTAACTAAAGAGGCTGTCGTGTAGGCTTTTAATATCTTAGAAAATTAATAGAGAGATACTCAGGTTTGACATGCATAAACTTGTTCAGTTTATTGCAAGGTAGTCACGGCAAGGCACGCAAGTAAGACCTCACAACATTCATTCAGAACCAGAGAATCAGAATTTACAGTTATGATTACAATGTTAGTTCAATGGTTAGAGTCCAAATCTTTCAATTTCAGGCTCTTACCTTTAATGAGAGGAAGGCTTAACCACAGCTAGAACTTAGCAGAGGTCTGTCATAGCTAGGGTCTAAGGTTGGTGGTGGTGGACAGAGTCTCCGTTCCATCTCTATCTTCTGTCAGTGAGTGAGTAGAAATTTTAGGGTTTATATGTGAATTTGTCACCTTGGCTCCACACAACAAGGGCTAGTATGACGTCAGAGACTAGTATGTTGTGTCTTTTCTCCAGTGTTAGAGAGTAGCCGAATGATGCATTTTCTCTTCAAGGTTAGAAATTAGGGAAGTTGTTTAGATTTATGTTTTGTTGTATCACAGCATGCAGGGTCAAAGTGAACTTAAGGGTTATTTACATTCTTTACATACTTCACTTGCGTCTATGTTTCTATGTCTAAGCTCAGAAAGTTTCTAAATAATTTTCTCATGACTTACAGGTTACTAATGACTTATCATTAATATTAGAGAGCCTAACAAAAGTAGACATAGTTCTAAGTTCATATTATGAGTGCTTATTTTGAAAGCATAATAGTGTCTTATACCTTAGGAGATTTGAGATCAGTATAGAAACATGGAACAGAGGCTTATTGAAGAATATTATCAAATATCTTCCCATAGAAACCTTTGAGAGTAGAATGCAACCTGATAAACTATTGGTCTGGGACTGTTACTGTTCTCAGTGTAGTTCTGGGTGGAAACAGGAAGATAACATGCTCAGCCTTTGCCTCTGTAAACTTATGATACATGGAAACTGAACCTGCATTTTGATAATATAGTGTAGGCTCTTAAAAACAAACAAACAAACCTGTTGCCATCGAGTCGATTCAGACTCATAGCAACCCTGTAGGACAGAGTAGACCTGCCCCATAAGGTTTCCAAGGAGCAGCTGGTGGATTTGAACTGCTGACATTTTGGTTAACAGCCGTAGCTTTTAACCACTGCACCACCAGGGCCCCTTAGGCTCCCTCCTGGGTTTTAAATAGTCAGTCTGTTTTGTAGTGATACAGAGAAACCTGTGAGAGCTGAACTTGACAGGGACTGCCTTGTTTTTCTGGGTCTCGGAAGTTTTTGGCCTTTGACAGGTTGCAGTCTTACTGCTTTTTTATTGCTCTCTATTGGAAAATATTTGAGTTTTCCTTCTCTGACAGGTTTCCACCTTACACAGGTTCCGGCTTTCACTGTTTTTACTGTATATTGTTTTCATTGTGGGAATTCATCTGTGTCTTTTCAGTGTAGATTTTACGAAGTTTAAATTCTAAGAGCAAATCCCTTGGGATGTGGTATACCTGGTGTCTTAGTCATCTAGTGCTGCTACAACAGAAATACCACAAGTGGATGTCTTTAACAAAGAGAAATTTATTTCCTTACAGTAAAGTAGGCTAAAAGTCCAAATTCAGGGTGTCAGCTCCAGGGGAGGGCTTTCTGTCTGTCTCTTGGCCTTCTCATCAGTGTTCCCCTGGACTAGGAGCTTCTCGGCCCAGGGACCCCGGTCCAAAGGACGCGCTCTGCTCCTGGCACTGCTTTCTTGACAGTTTGAGGCCCCCAATTCTCTGCTTGCTTCCGTTTCCTTTTATCTCTTGAGAGATAAAAGGTGGTGCAGGCCACACCCCAGGGAAACTCCCTTTACATTGAATCAGGGATGTGGCCTGAGTAAGGGTGGTGGTACACTCCCAGTGAAATCTGGTAGAGTGTTGAGTTTTAGTCCTGCTTATTCGTGGATGAGCAGAAGAGAAATTTGTTTAAATTTATTTTTACAGGCATGCATAG